ACCTCTATATATGATCTTGCATGTGAACTGGCCTTGTGGCCTTTGAACTTGTGCTCGGAATGCGTGGTGACTTTGTGATCCACCCTGAGCTTTGTTTTGCTTTGCTTGACTGGTCTTGTGACCCCTTGTTCTCCCCCACTTTGCCTATGGGGGTGTGTCAGAACATATAGCTTACTTGTTTGTGTAGGCTATAGTGGGGTATCCCATAGGGGGTACAACACAATTAGGGTTTCCTATTTGTACTCACTTCGTTCATACTCATTTCATTCTCGTTCAATTCTTCTCAGCAGGAGCCGACTCTACCGAGTACGAAGTTGAAGGGTCAGAAGAGCCGAAGCAACGCAGCAACCGTCAGACCAAGACCGATGCAGGCAGAAACGTTTGAAGTCAAATGAGCGGGAACAGGTTTTGAACGGGTTCCCGCGCCGCACGGTTTTGAATTCGGTTGTAATAAGAGAATGTACCCCTCAGAGTACATGGCTAATCTAGGTCCTTTCGTGTTCCCTTGTACTCATATATAAACTCGATGTATGCATGCTATTATCAACTCAGTCATTTACATTCACTCTGACCTCAGATTCAAACTTCCGCCGCAATACTACTCCGCGATCAACCCTGAGCGATCCTTTGCTAAGTCCCACTTGGGATTGTAACATGGTATGAGATCTACTCAGGTATTCTTCGCAACTTCACTTCCGTTAAATTCGCCGAATCAAGACCTGGCGAGCGGCACACGCTCCAAGACCAAGATGGCCGGAGGATCCGGAGGCCAAGCAAATCTGACGGCTGAAGGACAACCCAATCCAGTTGCGACAAGTGAGGCGACAACCACAATCGGCACTGCCGCCCTCGAGCAACTTTTCGCTCGACTTTCAACTATGGAGAAAGAACTCCAAGAACTACGCAAAGGCGATGCGGGAATCTCTTCCCAACCAGCACAACCTGGACAACCGGCTGAGAAAAGCCGTGATACCGCCGCGCACACCTTCTCCCTCGACACAGACAAATCAGCAACAACTGCCCCCCGTCCCTCATGGCTTACAGTGTGCTGCTACGCAACATGATGCCTGTGGAACAACTCAACATACGCTCCTACAAAGAGAGCGACGCTCCAGCAATGGAAGCTTGGAAGCACCTCGTTGAAGTTTGCCAGCCGAAGGATTCGGTCACCGCCAGCAGGCTTCTCCAGCAACTCCTGGAGATAAAGATGGGGCACGGGGAGAAGGCAATGTCAGAGGTCCACTGGTGATCCCCGATCGATCCTAGGGAAGGGTTACAGGCACGTTTGCCTGGGGGGTTATGGGCGCACTGACCCGCTACTGAAACAAGCCCTTTTATCCCAATGGTCTAGTGGTTGGGATTCTGAGATGGTATCAGAGCGAAGGTCTCGGGTTCGAATCCCGGTGTATGCACTTCGGGCATCCCAGTGCGGGGGGGTGTCAGAGGTCCACTGGTGATCCCCGATCGATCCTAGGGAAGGGTTACAGGCACGTTTGCCTGGGGGGTTATGGGCGCACTGACCCGCTACTGAAACAAGCCCTTTTATCCCAATGGTCTAGTGGTTGGGATTCTGAGAGGCAAATCCATACATTAACCGCTGTCGCAACATCCGTGACCAGATCACGAAGCATGGGAGTACGATCTCAGAAGAGATTTTCGTCAATATAGTCCTTCGAGGACTCGGGCCTGAGTGGAAGCCCTGCAAAGCGTTACTCCGACAGCGAGGAACAATTTCAGAAGCCGCGCTATGCGCCGCACTCATATCCGAACAACAGGATATGGAATCGAGCAGAACAAGCTCCGCGCCGCGCCGAAAGCGCCTCGCCTTCTACACGGACAACCGAGAAGAGCGACGACAACCAAGGCGTCATTACTGCAAAATATGCAAAGTCTTCGGACACTCAACGGATCGATGCAAATCCCGATCCAACTACCGCCACCCAAATTCCACTCACCACAACAACTGGGTCGGCCAACAAGACGCTCGTCATCCTCAACCTCAGCATCAGCAAGCTCGTCCTCCTGCGCAACACCAGCAAAATCAAGGACCACAGTCAGAAGCTCCCAGGAACGTCATCGCAAACATGGCGACACGACGCCGGCGCACCACTGAACCTGACAAGGAGAACAAAGTCCAAGGAAGACTTCTGGAACCAGAAGAGGGATGGAATAATCCCTTCACTGAGGATCACTACTACCTGTACGACGAAGACGAGCAGGACTGGAACCTCCCAATCACGCTGCGGGAAAGCCCGCCTCACGAAAATCAGCACTACGTACAAGTGGGTTGGAAGGAGGACGAAGATCCTTACTTCCACAGGCGCTTCAAGACCACCCTGGTAACTCCACGATTGGCGCTGCTGCTGCGCCGTAACAACACTGACAATTACAACACCTGGTACCTGGACAGCTGCTGCGGCCAGCACATGGTGGGGTCCACGCGCTATGTCTCCAACCTAAGTCGCGCCCCTGCAACTTATGTCACCGTCGCCAACAACGAGCAACTGCGCGCCAACTCACAAGGACTTGTTGTCCTGCAAGCACGAGATAGCAACACGCACATCTCGTTCAACGACGTACTCTACGTCCCGAACCTGCGCTTCAACCTGCTCTCCGCTGGACAGCTCCGCGATTGCGGCGTCATCATTCACACGGACCTCACGACGCGCGATCTCATCCTCACCTACGCTCCCCCGACACTCCTCCTGAGGCATTCAAGTACCTCGGACGAGCTCGCTCCATCAATGGGATCTATATCCTAGACTTCGACATACCTCTCTGCCAAGCCTCGTCAGACGAGCTCGTGGATCTTGTCCCCCTCGAGTCCGCTTTCATGAACAAGGAATCTTGGGAGCATCCGGATGGAAGACCGTGGGTTCGTCAAAGCCCTCACCCGCGTGAAATTAATTTTCGCGAACCTGACGCCCACGGACTGTGCACCACCTGTCACACACCAACCGCAAGTCGAACGGAGCAAGTGGAAAAGGAGCAAGCGGCAATTCAAGAAGCAGAAAGCGCTGAGACAGAACCAGCAGGCATGACTGAAGAAGAACTCGCCATATCATCACACCGCATATTCGGTGAGCCAAGCAAGAAATTTGGCCAAGAAAAGCAGGCAAGACCAAGGCCTTACTCGGACTCCCTACGATTCGTCCTCGAAGCCAACACGCGCACTCTCGACGAAGAAGGACGTCCGCGCCCGTACACTCGCTAAGACTACCGCCGCGAGATTGACCCTGCCTGGAAAGACCCTGACGCACCAGAGGAGCTGAGCGTCAAATCAGAACAAGAGAAGGCCCAAGCGGAGAAGCGGCAAAAGCTGTATGAGGAGCGCATCGCGGGAGGATGGGACCCAGACTCTGCGCGCGGAGGATGGGGCAACGAGCCCGCTAATCCAGAAGAAGGCGCAACCTCGGGTTCTGCAACTGGAGCATGGGGAACCGGCACGGTCACCACAGGAGGATGGGGAAACAACGAGCCTGACAAAGGGGAGCTCACGCAAGAGGAATTGGAGGAGGTTGAACAAGAAATACAAGCTGAGCACAGCAAAGCATCACCTCGAGTAACCATTCCCCTCGGTCGACCCCCTCGCACTGACAAACCACCTCGCTCACCTCATCACTGGCGTGATCCCTGGTCGAAGATTGAGGACGGGAATGTACCGCCAACACCTCCGCGAGACTCACTCGGTCCAATCTCCCGCCCAGATCCGTACGCCCGCTTCATCGAAGGCACCACGACCCCGCTCACGATCATTCCCGATCGCGAATTTCTCGCCCTGTATTTCTCAACGCTACCTGCAGAAGTGGGACGGCAGAAGTAGAAGCAGAGGAGGAGAACAACGAAGCAGAACCAGGAGAAGAGGAAGAAACCCCACTCCAGATCCCAGAACTCACAGCGGAAGAGGCAGCAGAGTAACACACCCGCTACAAGTGTACCTCCGGCATCCGTGCCGAGGATGACCTCTGGCACCAGCGGATGGGACACCCCTCGCGCAAGACACTCGCCAATTGCCTCCGTGCAAAAGTTTTTCCGCTAGGAACACTGCTGCGCCCCGACGAGACGGAGTTACGACACACCACCCCCCATCCAACCACTTGCACTGTCTGCCCCACAGCCGCACTCTCTCACACTGCCTATCCCTCTCTGGAGCCAAGCACCAACCGCTACAAGAAATTGGAAAATGTGTACAGCGATTTCATCGTACTCACCTGCGACGGACTCAACGGCGAAAAGTACACGCTGACCTTCATCGTCGCCTACTCACGCCACGTGTGGGTTGCCAATGTTGACGCCCGCTCCAAAGCTCCGGAGGTGTTCCGTATCTTCCTCGCACACGCGCAGCGACAGTCGGGAAGGAAACTGAAGATCTGGCAGAGTGATGGGGCAAAATAATTTCGCAGCCATGAACTGGAGAGCGTGCTCACCGAGAAGGGGATTAAGCATGAGATTTCCCTTCCCTATGCTCACCAGCAACAAGGCGTTGCTGAGCGGGTCAATCGGACCCTCATGACTAAAGTTCGCGCCATTATGAACCAGTCCGGCTTGCCAAAGAAATTTTGGCCGTACGCCATGAATCACGCGGTGCGCCTCCACAACCTCCTCTCCACCACCGCGAACAGGGATAACCTGTCACCCCACATGAAGTGGACCGGTTCAAAGGGAGATCCCTCCATGCTGAGGGTGTCAGAATATGTTGTTTGTGTAGCCTGCAGTGGGGCACTCAATAGTGAGTACAGCCCCTTAGGGTTTGCTATTTGTATCCTGCTGCTTGCTAGTTCAATCATTCCCTTCTCAATTTCATCCCACCACACAACCTAGCTCGTACTTGGCACCTCACTACTCTAGTCCTACTACGGCCTAGGCTACTACGCCTAGGCCGTACTCCTACTATTTCTGACATGGTATCAGAGCCTCCTATCCTGCTCAGGCAACACAAAATTCGTTGAATCTGAACATCTGGAAATTCGCTTCTTACCACTTCAGTTTAACTTCTATCCATGGCTTCCACCGTCTTCGCCACGGAGGCTACTCCCGCCGCCGTTGAGTCTATCCAAACGAACTTCCCCGGTTCCGTGGAGGAGACTGGCTACATCGCAACCGTCGCCGAAAAGCTCAAGGAGCACGGGTTCACCAAGGACAACAGCATCGCGCTCGTGAGCACGTGCCGTGACGAGGCATCGCGTCTGCTCGACGCCACCATTGACAAGCACTTCGGCCTCACCTTCGCGCACAACGGCCTCGCAAGAGTGCCGCCCGGTGGCGCGCTTGCGATCAAGGCCGGCGCGTCTCACAGCCCGCAGGACGAGAGTGGCAAGGAGCGATATGTCTTTTTCGATCTGACCCACATCGGTGTCGACGAGACCGGCGCTATCGGTAAGATGCGCCGCGAAGGCCGCTCCGCGGCTTCCGGCGCGTGCGGCGCGCTTCTCGCGCTGACCGCGCAGTTCAGCGCGAGCAAGGACCTCCCGGAGGCGTCGGAGGACGATCTCGAGGTGCACAACCTGACGAAGAAGCTCCTCGCCGTGAACCCCGAGCCGAACATCGTGGCGGTTACCAAGGCGGCCGTGGATGTCATCAACAGCACGCTGGAGCACCTGATCAGCGTGGCCGTTGATAGCACGAAGGCGGATTACGCTGTGATCACCGGCGTGTAGATCCACTCCGGCAACAACCCCGTTGGCACGAAATTCAAGCTGGAGAACACCGTCGAGTACATCACCCCGTCGCTCGCCTATGTGGTTGTTGACGGAGTGAAGAAGGAACTGTCCCTGTAAATTCTTATTTATGACCCGTGGGCTTGGATGGCGTATCGACGCGCAAGTGTCGCAGTAGGGACTTGTGAGTCCCTATTTTTCGGTATCCTTGCCGTGGGATGTAATTTTGATTGAAATGTTATTTTTTGTTAAATGAATCATATCGAAGAGATTTACGAAAAAAAAAAAGGTGCCCGTCATGGCGCCCCGGGGGGGGGGGGGGCGCGCGGCTCTTTCCTCGTCCCCCCTAGGGGCGCCCCCTCCCTCCTACCTCCTCCTACCTCTCACCTGCAGCGGCCGCCCCTGGAGCAGCCCGCACCTGCAGCAACAGCCCCTGGAGCAGCCCGTGCCTGCAGCAGCCGCCCCAGGACCCGCGCGAACCACCCCACTGGACGCCTGTCCCGTCCCCCCCCCCCCCCCCCCCTTGTGCTGCCCATTGCTCCCATTCCGCCGTGCGTTCCGCGGTGGTTGGGGTGTAGGGTGGCAAGCATGGGGGTGAGAGGAGTGGGTTCTCCCCTCCTCCTTTTTCATCTCCCACTGCTGCAGCTGCCGCTGAGGGGGGTGGAGGTGTGGGAGCTGTGGAGAGTGGAGCTATGGGGGTGATGTGGGGAGTGGAGCTATGGGGGTGATGTGGGAGTGGAGCTAGGGGTGAAACTGGGGGTGTGTGTAGGGGGGTGTGGGACTGCTTGGGGAGGCTGAGTGGAGGCTGCCGTCTAGTCGTCCGCAGCACCTGTAGTCCGGGGCGCTGTCCTGGTAGCCCAGAGAGCCTGCTGCGCCTGTCGCCCGTGGGTCCGTTGCTCCTGTAGCTCGTCGTAGCCCGTGAGCCAGTTACTCCAATAGTCCGGGGCGCTGTCCTGGTAGCCACTGTGCCAGCCGCTCCTGTTGCCCGTGTGTCTGTAGCTTCAGCTGTCGTTTCCCATCTTCTCTCCTCTCACAATCCCTCCTCCTCCTCACTTGCCCGCTATGACTACCACTAGCTTTGCTCATAATTGTGAACTTTAAACTGTTGCTTCTTGTAATTGTGCTCAGAATGTGTGGTGACATTGTGATCCACCCTGAGCTTGTTCTGCTTTGCTTATTGTGCCGATTACACCCCACTTTGGCTATGGGGGTGTGTCAGAATATGTTGTTTGTGTAGCCTGCAGTGGGGCACTCAATAGTGAGTACAGCCCCTTAGGGTTTGCTATTTGTATCCTGCTGCTTGCTAGTTCAATCATTCCCTTCTCAATTTCATCCCACCACACAACCTAGCTCGTACTTGCCGCCTCACTACTCTAGTCCTACTACGGCCTAGGCTACTAAGCCTAGGCCGTACTCCTACTATTTCTGACAGAGGGTTTGGGGGTGCATGGTGCAGTATCGGCCTACTTCGGCCACAATCGGCAAGTTCGTTCATCGTGCGCGCTGGGGAGTTCATCTCGGACTCAGTCACGAACATAAAGGATGGCTCATCCTTGACATGGACAACCAGGAAATTGTCCCTGCGCGCGACATTTTTTTCTACGAACGGCTCACCTTGACGCAGTGGATCGAGGACGAACGCCGTAACCAGGCACGCGGCTACGCCAACAGCGGCCGCAGCTTCGCGACCCTTGAAGATGAAGCAGCAGCAGCAGTCCTGGACCGCGACGACACCGACAAACATCCCAGCATCCCCCCTCACCCGCGCGACGACGATGACAGCGATGACGACCCCACGCCAGGACCATCACGGCGCCAGACAGAATCAAGCACCGCACCACCCGGCTACGAGAGCGGAGATGACGGCGTGATTGAAGTCCCCACCAACGCAGACACCACCAACGTGTCAGGCCTTCAACTTCTTGGCCTGCACACGTTCGTCTCTACTCTCGCGCGGACCGTGGAACCTAAGAACCCTCGCCAGGCCCTAAGCGGCCCTCACTCCAAGGAGTGGCGTGCTGCGATGGATGCGTAACTGAAAGCACTAGAATCGCGCGACACTTGGGTCCTAGTCAATCGTGCAGTAGTGAAGGGGAGGAGGGTGCTCAGCGGGAAATGGGTTTTTCGTCTCAAAACTAACGCTGACGGCACTATTGAGCGCTTCAAAGCACGATGGGTCGTACGCGGCTACGACCAGCGTCACAACATAGACTTCGATCAGACCTTCGCTCCCGTCAGTCGCCATACCTCGGTCCGGATTCTACTCGCTATTGCCGCCGCGAAGCACGTACCACTGCGACAGATCGACGTGAAGAACGCGTTTCTATACGCGTTGGTGGATGCCACCATCTTTGTGGAGCAGCCGCACACCTACGGAGAAGACGATCCCAGGGTCTGTCAACTGAAGAAGTCACTCTACGGGATCAAACAGGCGCCACGACTCTGGCAGCAGCATCTGCACAAAATCCTCCTCGAAATCGGCTTCAAACAACTCCCACACGACCCGGGAATATATCGCCTCCACTTCAGCGGCGATTACATCCTCCTAATAGTCTACGTCGATGACCTGCTGTATACGGGGACCTGCAACAAAATCCTCAACCAGTTTCAGAAAACCTGGCGCAGCGCGTGGACATCACCATCAACCTCGAAGTAAAACAGTTTTTGGGGTTAAACATCACTTACGCGCCAGAAGAAATTCATCTGTCAGCCTCCAAGTACGCAGAGCAGCTGGGGGAACGCTTCAACATCTCACCCGCACCACTCTCAACTCCCTACCGCACCCCGAGCACCAACTACAAACCAGACAACAAACCTCTGTCGCCCGCAGGACTCCAAATGTACCAGCAGAAGTTGGGGTGCCTGCTATTCGCCTCTGTCACCTGCCGACCCGACCTTTCGTACATCGCTAGCCAACTGGTGCAGTACTCTCGCAAGCCAGTAGCTGAGAACCAGCTGGACCTGGAGCGCGCCCTGCAATACTTCATCTCCACACCTGACATTGGGCTCTCCTACTCCACGCTGACGACGACCTCCTTCAACCTCAACGGCTACGTGGACGCAGACCACGCAGCTGATCCTGCAAATTGACGGTCCTGAACCGGCTTCGTTTTTTCGCCTGGAACCAACTGGACCAACCTCCTGGAACTCCCAGAAGTAGGAGCTGGTTGCCCTGTCATCGGCTGAAGCAGAATACATCGCCGCGACAGCAGCAGTTCGCGAAGGTCTGTACCTGCAGGAGCTGCTGCAGGAGGCGAAAATTCCAACCTCGCCTACCTTTCGCCTTCACTGCGACAACCAGAGTGCCAATAAAATCAGCGAACAAGCCAGGTTTCGTGAACCGCACGAAGCACATCGCGCTTCGGTACTTTTTCGTCAAGGACGAAATCGACCAAGGCAAAGTGGACCTTGCTTACTGCCCGACCACTGAGATGGCAGCAGACTTCCTCACCAAGCGTCTGCCACGTCAGCAGTATAAGCACTGCTCTGATCTCACTGGAGTAGTTAAGCGAGTCAGCTCCACCCGCGCCTAGGAATGAAGGGGAGTGTTACCATGTGAAGTTTCATGAGAAGGCATACCTGTATGCTGCAGGAGCCGACTCTACCGAGTACGAAGTTGAAGAGTCAGAAGAGCCGAAGCGACGCAGCAACCGTCAGACCAAGACCGATGCAGGCAGAAACATTTGAAGTGAAAAGAGCGGGAACAGGTTTTGAACGGGTTCCCGCGCCGCACGGTTTTGAATTCGGTTGTACCGTATTCTCCCTGATAAAACACCCTAGGGTATTATGAAAACCACTGGAAAAAAATGGAAAAAGGAAAATCCTATATAATACCCAGGTCTTATGATATGGTATATTTTTTATAAAACAGAAAAGATGTGTAACAAAATCAGGGGTCTGACTTCACTTCAATATTGTTGATCAATGCCGCAAAACCGAGTACGAGGATATTGTGGGCCACTTGGGCCACTTCACCTCTTGGACCACTTGCAGTGGAAGATTCGACAGCGTGGCGACAGCGAGATTTTGGGATTCACCAGCGTGGCGACAGAGAGATTGTGGGAGGGGGGTGTCAGAATGAGGAATGAATGATCCATTGATGTTGGTTGGGGTACATATAACAAACCCTAACTTCTGTACCCCCTAAGACAAACCTCACTACAGGCTACAACATTTGACAGGGGGATATCTCGGCTGATTCTAAGTGAAAGTACATGCGAAATTTCATCTAGGGAGTGATTTTCGCGATATCCTCCCGTAAGGAATCGGACTCGATAACAACTATTATAGGAATCTATAAGAAAAGGGGGGTGTTATAGAGAATCACCCCAAAAAGGGGGGTATAGTACTAACGGGGTCGGATATAGCATCCACCCCGTATTAGCTACCCGGGGGTGTACAATTACGGGGGGGTGTTTTATCCGGGAGAATACGGTAATAAGGGAATATACCCCTTAGAGTACATGGCTAGTCTAGGTCCTTTCGTATTCCCTTGTACTCATATACAAACTCGATGTACCGTCACCCCCCGGATATAAGCGCCACCCTAGGATAAGCGCCTGGCGCTTCTAATTGGCATATGGCGCTTATATCCCCTGCTCGATTATAAGCGCACCCCCTGAAAAAACTTGTTTTATTATAAGCGCACGTAAACTTATTTTTTTGAAATGTGTTCAAAACGCTTTAACGATTTCTACTTTAGCAGGCAGATGTTTTGCAGATTCGGTTCCCTTCACATTCGGACCCTGCACTGGATTCGGGTCCAGTCAACAGGAGCTGTCATGAGCTGTCAGGAGCTGGATGTGAGTCAGATTGGATGTACCTCCCTGCACGCGCGAGAATTTCACAGACGACCCCATGTAACTTCGTCTCGATTGAAAAGGCAAGCACGAGATCTACAGCATGGTGTTCAAAAATATATAAAAACATATATGTCATTTTATAAACGCCGGCGCTTATAAATTTACTCGATTATAAGCCCACCCCCCTAAAAAAACCTGCTTTATTATTGCCCCCCATGGGGGTATATCCGGGGTATGACGGTATGCATGCTATTATCAACTCAGTCATTTACATTCACTCTGACCTGATATTCAAACTTTCGCAGCAACACTACTCCGCGATCAACCATGAACGATCCTTTGCTAAGTCCCACTTGGGACTGTACCGTCATACCCCAGATATAAGCGCCACCCGCGAGTAAGCGCCTGGCGCTTTTAATTGGCGTGTGGCGCTTATATCCGGTGCTCGATTATAAGCGCACCCCCTGAAGGCTTACGTATTATAAGAGCCACCATTTGTATTAGTTTTTATAAAGTTACTGGAATCTCTGTAGCAAAACACACTATTTGCATCCTCACTTGATAAAATTTCGACCCTTCACCCTCGCGCGACTCACTCCCCCACCCTCGCGCGACTCAATTGACTGCGCGTCCAGTTAGAATGAGCTGTCATGGGGCGAAATGACTCATTCTGACTGTGTGTGTTGGCAGTTTGCACTATGATCTTGACTTGATTGAAATCTCAATGACAAGATGAACATTTTGAAGTGAAAACAACTAGATTTCTTATATGTCATTGTATAAGCCCCGGCGCTTATAAAATTACTATATTATAAGCCCACCCCCTAAAAAAAACACGTTTTATTAGTGCCCCCCATGGGGGTATATCCGGGGTATGACGGTAACAGGGCGTGTGCAAAAATTCGGTAACCTTATATAGTAGACAACAAAATGTGACATTTACTATTCTGAATATATTGGAAGAGTATAGTACAAAGCCAACCGAAACTATATCTACTTGTTGCGCATAAACTTGCCAGCAACGGTACCGTTGCCCGCGGTGGTGTTCACGAACATCATCACATAAAGGGGCTGCATCTTCCACACCTTACCCCAGGCGTTGCCCTTCGGGGCACCAGCAGGGCGAGGCTGCGGCAGAGCAGTCTCATTCGCAGTGTTGCTCAAAGTGTACACTTGGGGAGGGTTCTTGTTCTTCCTTGAGGGTTTCTGGGGCGTGTTCACCCAGGTTCCGTTCAGGTCAAGCACCAACTTCTGCTCGACAAGCGGGTCGCACGGATCGGTGCTGTAGATACCTTGGACGGTGGGCGGCTCGGCTGTTCCGGAAATGAGGATGCCGTATGTCATGGAATTTGTGGTGTTATCCTCGGTTGAAAGGACGTTGGCGACGATGGATCCGCGCACGAAGGGAAGGGGCTTGCACGGGTGTACGGTTCCCATGTAGCGAGCTACACACGCATTAGAGTGAGGAAGAAAATATTGAAGGGAGAAACCGGAAATTGAGTTCGGTTTGCCGCATTGTATGGTGAGGGTAACCGAGAACGGCTGACGATGACATGTAAGGAGCGCAACGTGCGGGCACTCACCGAGTACAGTTGGCTTGAAGGGCTTCTTTGGTGGGGGCGGCTTGCCGCCGCCAGAACCTCCGGTGGAACCTCCGTCAGGCTTGCCGCCGCCGGAACTTCCGCCGGAACCTCCGTCAGGCTTGCCGCCACCTCCGCCGGAACCTCCGTCAGGCTTGCCGCCACCTCCGCCGGAATTTCCGGGGCCGGTGTCGCCGCCGGGACCTTTACCCGGTGGTGGGCCCTTTGACTCAGCTCCTGAAAAAAATAATACGAAACATCGACAGAGAGAAATACATTGTGCGAGTGATTCAGAAGGAATGTGAACTTTTGAGAAGGGCAGTAGTACATCGAGCGAGTGATTTCGAACTTTTGAGCGCGGCGTGAAAAGAAAAGAAAAAATAAATGAACACCGGTGAAAGACGACTTAGCCATAATGTTCTGTCAGGATATATGGAAAAGCGTACTTAGGAGCAGGAGGGCGAAACACACGAGAACGATAGTAAATCGAGCCATTGCAGACTTCGAACGAAACCAATCCACAAGAGCTTAGACTTCAAAGGTGAGTATAATTGTGCTGGTGTGTCACATACAGGCTGAAGTGTAAGAGGGAGATGTGGGTACTAAATCTGACAAGGAGTTGGGTGGGAGGTCGTGAATGTTGGTTGGGAAGTAGGTGTGTCGCGGGCTTGGCTTCCTGTCACCACCACCTGACCTGGAGGTGTTGGTTTCGCGGCGCTGCTGTTTTGCTGTACTGTAGTGGTGCAATGCTGCTTCACGACGGATGATTAACCGCGCGTCGCGTACCTTTTCTGTTGATGCTGAAAATCAGACATTGAAACGGTAAATATGCTAAATACTAGCTGCCCTTGATAGAAGAAGTGCTTGGAAAATGCAATTTTTGGTATCTCATTTATCACAAAGCACTTCAAGAATGGGTGTTCATTTGCCATGCATTGTTTACAGCGTTGAAATCTCAAATTGTCAAAACAACCTTTTGGATGGTGGGAGGCTTGTCGATTAACAAAGAGAATGTGGCCTTTTGTCGATTGTTGTAGGGCCTTCTCAGAACGAGTTACCCACAGCACTTTTGCCCGAAAGCGATCCACAATCCCAAAGCACCACTGCGACGGTTGTGCAGCATGTGCTCTCATAACAGATAAACAGCCTGACTTCCCGTGCCAAATCTCTCCAAAGCGTAGGTCCATGAAGCTACATCAATGCGTTCCGATCATTCCTTCAGCGTGGAACAGCACTTGTTAAGTCTGAAGAAAACTGCTGTACAGTACATAAAACGGAACAGCGTCCAGGTGGAAATCGGGTGCCAATGGGCCATGTTGAGCTCTCTGTCCAATGTCTCGCTACAGTGCGATCGTTTCATGCGAAATGTGTCTAGGTCATTCCTTCCGTTACAGGTTAGCGCAGAACAGCATTCAGGTGCAAATCCTGCTTGTACCTACCTTCCCCAGACCGCACGTGGCAGCGCTATTTCGGGAGGGAAGAGCTTCATCATAAGCAGCCTTTATACGAGGGGTTTCATTTCGAGGGTCTTTATACGAGGATAAATTACGTCTTTTCTCAACTTGTGAAGTTTCCAAACATCATTATTAGAGTACATTCCTGCGGGGACACTTGTGTCTCAATCCCCGTTTTCCCGAGTCGCGCCTGTAAATTTGCCAAATGTTGTGTCACAAACAACCAATGTATCGCGACTCTAGGCGACCAGGCGAAATGTATACCGTCACCCCCCGGATATAAGCGCCACCCTAGGATAAGCGCCTGGCGCTTCTAATTGGCATATGGCGCTTATATCCCCTCCTCGATTATAAGCGCACCCCCTGAAAAAACTAGTTTTATTATAAGCGCACGTAAACTTTAAAATTTGAAATGTGTACAAAACGTTGTAATGATTTTTACTTTAGCAGGCAGATATGTTGCAGATTCGGTTCCCTTCACATTCGGACCCTGCACTGGATGCGGGTCCAGTCAGCAGGAGCTGTCAGGAGCTGGATGTGAGTCAGATTGGGTGTGTCTCCCAGCGCGCGCGAGAATTTCACAGACGACCCCATGTAAATTCGACTCGATTGAAAGGGCAAGCACGAGACCTACAGTTTGGTGTTAAACAATATAAAAAATATGAATGTCATTTTATAAACGCCGGCGCTTATAAATTTACTCGATTATAAGCCCACCCCCTTGAAAAAACCTGTTTTATTATTGCCCCCCATGGGGGTATATCCGGGGGGTGACGGTAGTTGTGCGCATTTGATTGGGTTACACAAATGACTGTACATCCATTTTTTCAACCGCTTGGCTGGGGTGTGGTTTCGACGCACGGGATTTTTTCCCCCACGAAGTTGGCATTGCAGGCTGTTCAGGTGTGCTGTGATCAGAAGTTGATCGTAGCCCAGGATCTACTCTGGTAGGTTCGCACGCAGTGAGGTAGTGTTGGTGGGCCCTTGACCTCAATAGCAGAGTGAATGTAAAATGCTTGAGATAATAAGAACATGCAAATACAACGATATAAATATGAGTACAAGGGAATTCGAAACGACCTAACTAGCCAGGTACTCTAAGGTGTACATTCCCTTATTCAAATGCATCCCAACCGTTCGGCGCGTACAGTTTTGTAACTGTTCCCGCCAAAACCATCCTGCCTGCAGCTGTCCGATGCCGTTTGCTTCCGACGGTTCAGATGTGCTGTAACCGTCCGACTCTTTGACTCAATTCCAACCGTCTGACGCTTGCGTGCATTCCCGATATTGTGCGTACCTAGCTACAGTGAGGAGTGCTTAGTAAGGGCGTATTCCTACGGCCTCCAATCAAGAAACCTCCTATCAAGATTGTACATTTTGCCTGGTAAAAGTAGCGAGAGATTTTGGGTTTAGGGAATTTTCCAGTGAGAGCTTGATAGGAGGTTTTCTTGATAGGAGGATAGGAATACGCCCTAATATCGGATATTACTATTCGTAACACCCCCCTTCACTCCTGGCTGTAGCTTGGCTTGACCTGCCTGACCACGCCGCTGAGTTCGGAGCAGTGCTGATACTGCTGGCGTGGCAGTCGCTTCGTGAGGAAGTCTGCTGCCATGCCACCTGTTGGGCAGTAGGTCAAGTTGACCTTGCCTTTGTCTACTTCGTCCTTCACGAAGAAGTACCGCAGCGCAATGTGCTTGGTGCGGTTAACGAAACCAGGCTTGTTCGCGATCCGAATCGCGCTCTGGTTGTTGTAGTGAAGACGAAATGTCGCTGAAGCTGGAATTTTCGCCTCTTGCAGGAGTTCATGCAGATAGAGGCCTTCGCGAACTTCTGCGGTTGCTGCGATGAATTCTGTTTCCGCTGATGACAGGGCAACCAACTCCTGCTTCTGTGAGTTCCAGGAGATTGGTCCCGTAGGCTCGAGTCGGAACAGGAACCCAGTCCTGGACCGTCGATTATCGGGATCTGCTGCGTGATCGGCGTCCACATAGCCGGTGAGATTGAAGGATGGGGTTGGTGCAGTTGAGTAACGCAACCCAATCTTGGGCGTTGAAACGAAGTATTGGAGGGCGCGCTGTAGGTCCAAAAGATTTTCAGCCGTTGGTTTGCGTGAGTATTGCGCCAGCTGACTTGCAATGTACGAGTGGTCAGGTTTGCAGGTGACAGAGGCGAAGAGGAGGCATCCCAACTACTGTTGATAAGTCTGAATCCCAGCGGGGAATAGGGCTTTGGTGTCGGGTTTGTAGTTCGGTCCGGGGGTTCGGTAGGGAGTTGAGAGAGGTGCAGGTGAAATGTTGAACCGCTTCCCTAAGTCCTCTGCGTACTTAGCCGTTGAAAGGTGAATGGCTTCGGGCGCGTAGGTGATGTTGAGGCCTAGGAACTGCTTCACCTCGTAGCTGCATGTGATGTCGACGCGCCCCGCTAGAGCCTTTTCGAACTGCTGGAGGAGCTCGTTGTTTGAGCCTGTGTAAAGCAGGTCGTCGACGTACACAGTGAGGAGGATGTGTACCGTCGCGAAAGTCGCGGCGGTACATCCCTGGATCGTGTGGCATTTGCTTGAACTCGATTTCAAGCAAGATGTTATGCAGGTACTGCTGCCACAGCCTTGGAGCCTGCTTGATGCCGTAGAGTGACTTGCGCAGCTGACATACGCGTGAGTCTCCTTCGCCGTAGGTGTGTGGCTGCTCCACGTAGATTCACGGCGTCTACTAACGCGTACAGGAACGCGTTCTTCACGTCGATCTGACGGAGTGGCAGGTGCCTTGCAGCTGCGTTGGCGAGCAGGATGCGGACGGAGGTGTGGCGGCTGACTGGGGCGAACGTCTGGTCGAAGTCGATCCCATGCCTCTGGTCATAGCCGCGAACCACCCAACGTGCTTTGAAGTGCTCGATTGTCCCATCCGCTGCGGTTTTTACGCGGAAGACCCACTTCCCTGAGAGGATTCTTGCGCCTTTGATCACTGCGCGGTCGACGAGCACCCAGGTGTCGCATGACTCCAGTGCCTTGATTTCCATGTCCATCGCCTCACGCCATTCCTTGCTGTGTGGTCCAGAAAGTGCTTCGCGCGGGTTTCGAGGCTCGATGATGCGTGGTGCCTGCGAGGTTGCGGTGTGAAGTCCGAGCAGCTGCAGCCCTGAGATGGTGTTGTCGTGGCAACGTTGCGGGATGACTTCCTGCACATCATCATCGTCACTCTCCGGTTCAGGTGTTGGCGGTGTTGCGCTTCTGTCGCTTCCGCCTGTTCCGCCTCGGCCTGTTCCGCCTCCGCCTGTTCTGCCTGTTCCTCTTCCTGAGGATTCATCGTCGTCGTCGTCGTCGCTGCGCCGGTTTTTCTGTGCGAAATCCCCCCTTGTGTCCTGCTCCAAGATTGCTGCAGCGGCTTCATCTTCGGGCGTTGCGTAGCTGTGGCCGTCGTTGGCGTAGACCCGATTCGCATTAGTCTGCTCGTCGCGGCGGAACTGGTCGAGGAAGAGACGCTCGTAGAAGATGACGTCGCGAGCGTGAGTGGTTTTCTGGCTGAGGAGGTCTAGCACGATCCACGCCTTGTGCTCGTGACTGATGCCGAGGTGGATTCCCCAGCGTGCGCGGCTGGCGAACTTGCCGATGGTTGAGGTCGGCAGGCGGTATTGAACCATGCACCCCCATACCCGGAGCATGGAGGTGTCCCCTTTGGTTCCACTCCATTTGACGTGCGGGAACAGGTTGCCGGTAATTGTGGTGGTTGAAAGCAGGTTGTGCACCCGCACGGCGTGGTGCATCGCGTAGGTCCAGTAGATTGGCGGCAATTTCGACTACTTCATCAGCGCGCGCACCTTCGTCATCAGTGTGCGATTGGTCCGCTCGGCTACGCCCTGCTGCTGGTGCGCGTAGGGGAGAGAAATGTGGTGCTCGATCCCCTTCTGTGTCAGGAAGGTCTGCATCTGGTTGCTCCTGAATTCTGCCGCGCCGTCAGATTGCCAGATCTTGAGTTTCTTCCCGGATTGCCTCTCCGCATGCGCCAGCCAAAGCCGAAATACTTCGTATGCTCTGTCGCGCGT